GAAACCCCGTTTTGTGGCGAACGGCTCGGAGGGGACTTTCCAAATTCTGACGGAGTTGGTGGTATTGCTCAACGCCATTTTACACAGCAGTATGAGTTTTGAGGGGATGCCAAATTTAGACATAGCGCCGTCTAGGCAACTCATTTTAGTGCCGTCAAAAGCGGCTTTAAAGTCGACAAATAGGTGGTGAGTGTCGATCCTTTTCTCGCGGGTCTTTTCCAAGATTTGGCGTATTGTGAATACCTGGTCTATGGTGGATTTGCCAGGTCTAAAGCCACACTGATAAGGCCCAATCAGTTCATTGACGGTGGGCTTCAGTCTTTCACACAATACGCTCGATAAGACCTTGTAACCTATGCTTAGAAGGCTGATCCCGCNCTTTCACACAATACGCTCGATAATGCCTTGTAACCTATGCTTAGAAGGCTAATCCCGAGGTAGTTGGCGCGAATGGCGGGGTCTCCTTTCATGTGGATTAGGCAGAGCACACTTAAATTCCAGTCGTCGGGCCTGCGTTCATCTGACCATATTCTGCACAAGAGTTAATGCATGCATTTAACAACTCCTCGCCGCCGTACTTGAATAGCTCAGCTGGCAGGCTGTCAGCTCCAGCGGCTTTGTTGTTTTTCAGCCGCGTTATTGCTATACGTACCTCGTCATAGTCAGGCGGTGTAACGTTGACTCCGTCATCATCGATTGCAGGCTCGGGTTCTTCTTCTCCACAACTTACCGTGCTGCTACCATTGTTCCCTCCATAATTTAAGTACGCTCTGGACATCAGTTACTAGGTCGCCATTATTGTTCTTACAGGAGTACGCCCCGGTCTTTAAACCTTCCTTGAGTCGCCTAACTCTCTGATACAATTTTCTGGCATTCTTCCTGTCGGCCAGCATTTCAAGCTCTTCGCGCTCACGTTTTTCGGCCTCTCTCTTCTTATTGTGGCAAATACGTCTCGCTTCCCTCTTCAGATCCCTATAGCGGTCCCACATAGCGCGCGTTGCGCCCGATCGCAGCGTGGCCCTGTAGGCGGCATCTTTTTTCTCTGCAGCTTCCTGACACTCCTCATCGTACCAGTTGTTCTTTCGGGCTCGCTGAAATCCGACTACTTCTTCGGCGGCGGTACTTAATGAGCGGGAAATGTGGTTCCACTGCTCGCATATGTCGGTTTGTTGAAGAGTGCTCTCTGAGAGCAGGTGTGAGAGTCGAGTAGCGAAAGCGCTGGCTGTCTGTTGTGATTGCAGCTTTTCGACGTTAAGCTTTCCTTGCATATTTGGGCGCACATTTTTTGCTGCACAGAGGCGGGTGCGTATCTTGGCTGCAACAAGATAGTGGTCCGAGTCGATGTTTGGGCCTCGGAGTGTGCGTACGTCTAAAACACTGGAAGCGTGCCTTCCGTCTATCACAACATGATCGATTTGGTTTCTCGTTTTTCGATCCGGAGACAGCCAGGTAGCTTGATGGATCTTTTTATGCTTGAACCTAGTACTGCATACTACCATGTTTCGGGCCCCGGCGAAGTCGATCAGCCTCAATCCGCTGTCGGACGTTTCGTCGTGGAGGCTAAATTTTCCGACGGTAGTTCAAAAGATCCCTTCCTTGCCCACCCTGGCATTGAAGTCGCCAAGCACGATTTTGATATCATGACGGGGGCAGCGCTCGTACGTGCGCTCCAAGCGCTCATAGAAGAGATCNTACTACCATGTTTCGGGCCCCGGCGAAGTCGATCAGCCTCACTCCGCTGTCGGACGTTTCGTCGTGGAGGCTAAATTTTCCGACGGTAGTTCAAAAGATCCCTTCCTTGCCCACCCTGGCATTGAAGTCGCCAAGCACGATCTTGATATCATGACGGGGGAGCGCACGTATGTGCGCTCCAAGCGCTCATTGACGAGATCCTTGGATGCCTCTTCCTTCCCTTTCGTCGGGGCATGGGCGCAGAAGAGCAAGATGTTGAATAATCTCGCTTTGATGCGGATTGTAGCTAGACGCTCGTCCACCGGGGTGAACGACAGTACTCGGCGACGGAGTCTCTCTCCCACCACAAATCCAACTCCGAATTTGCGCTCCTTTACATGGCAGCTGTAGTAGACGTCGCAAGGCCCCAGACATTNGACAGTACTCGGCGACGGAGTCTCCCTCCCACCACAAATCCAACTCTTAATTTTCGCTCCTTTACAGGGCAGCTTTAGTGAACGTCGCAAGGCTCCAGACATTGCTTACCTTGCCCCGTCCAACGCATTTCTTGAATGGCGGTGATGTCAGCTTTTGTCCTTACGAGGACATCAACCAGCCGGGCAGAGATAGCTTCCCCATTAAGGGTCCGGACGTTCCAGGTGCATGCCTTCAAATCGTAGTCTTTTAAACGTTTGCCGTGGTCGTCATCATAAGGGGGGGTCTCATCCGAGGCCCAATTAAAATTATCCTGGCCAGGATTTTTCAGCCAACCCACCCGCGAAATATTTCGTAAAACGTCAAATTTCATATAAAGTAGATTTCATCCATTAAACAGATGGGTGAAGGTCGTACCTTTGTCAGATCTCCTACTCAAATAAAACCTGTCAAATCATGCGAAAGTTCGAACTAATTGAGAATTACCCATATCTCCTGATATATTTTTCCTTATTTCCTGCATATAATTTTTAATAAAGTGTTATTTAAAGTAAATTACGAAGGTAAACCAATGGCCTATTCACAATATGATAAGTGAAAAAGACTAAAGAATTTAAAGTGAAAATTTTAAGTAAAGTCACATACCGCAAGTGTAGACAACCTTCAGATACATTCGCGAGTTAGGTTTACATGGAGACCCGAATGTCTTCGCATCCGCTGCTAAATTGCAGCGGCGACGTCCATGGCAAATCTGCATAACCGTTTCAGTGGCGTATGATGCTTGGCAAGCTAGGAATTACGAAAAAAGAAAATTAAACGTACCTTTAAATCACTGCACAAAGCAAATGTTAATGTGAATAAAATTCCATTCGGGAACGCAAATGCAGTTCATGCGACACCTTCTTTCAAACCACTTACTTTCTTCACGAACTCCTTGCGGTTGTGGACATTGAATGCTTTCGTACTCTGTGCGCCCAAAGCTTGCACTGTATACTGCTATGCGAGCATAAGGATTACATTCCAACTGAGCAATATCATTGTGGCAAGCAACTTTACTACGAAATTCATCTAGAAACGAAATAAATTAGTTCAGTGACATGGTATGTATGTTTGTCTGTACTGAAAATAAAATTTCGTAAAAGTGCTACGAAAAACTTTCGTAGTCTTGTACAATGTATGAAACTTTCGTTCATAATACGAACACATTTTTCACAACGAAACAAGATTTTACTAACCATACGTAAATATAACGAAAAGACTTTCGTAAGGCATTTTTTCAGTACAATTTACGAAATCTTACGTTTATTTTACGAAACACATTCGTAAAGCACTGAACAAATCTCTGTGCGAATAATTTTGTATATTGTAGGAAGGCATTCGTAATATGTATGTGTATGTATGGTTTAAAAAATTTACGAAATCTACAATTCTGTATTCGTACAATTTACTTAATACTTTCGTACATAGAACAAATGCAGAAAATTTTTTTTCTAATTTGTACAACAGACGAATATTTTCGTACAATATACTAAATTACCGTCAGTTTAATATTTCACCATATTTTTATGTATCGCGTGTCATTGAGGAATTATTTGTTAGCTGCTGTGAGTCATATAATATAACCAGCAATTACCCGGCGTGCTTCGCTGCGCCTTAAATGTATTTTTGTGTTGTAACTCTCCCCCTAAGCTCTTATGGCCTCATTTACAAAATATTTTTAAAGAACTTTATGAAGTTAGATTTAAAAAAAATCGATCTATGAAGCATTGTTTATTTTTTTTTTTGGGTTAATATATTTTCGAAGGTAATTAGAAAAT